TTCCACGTTTTTGTTACGGCCATGACACCTACTGTAGTGGGAACAATGAGTCTGCGTCTTCGATGCGCGCAGGCGGATGATGCGGGGATGCAATGTAGACAGGAATAAACAGGTTTATCCGGTCAAAGATATCGGACAGATAGTCCAACATTGCAACCCAGTTCATGTCCTCCATGTGCTTGACCAGTGGGGAGTTGATTTCAGCGAGGAAGAGAACGTGCAAATCACACCGGACCTCGGAGTGCAGCAGCAGCTGTTGGAAGTGAGCGCCCATCTCATTGCAGAGGATGGAGAAGAAGCGGGTATTCATGGCGCATAAAGTTAGCTGAAGTTATCGAGCTAGATTTCACTGTTTCTCGTTATTTTTTTCTCACGCTGCACCTCCCCTGAAGCTCTCTATCGCCCCCCAGGGGAGGCGCGCTTCACACTTTGAAAACCCCTGATCTATATAAAATATTGCGTGTCATTATCACAGTTTTGGTTCAAAGAAATCAACACTGGTATATGAAAGAAACAGAAAACATATTACTTAGTTTATAGAGGTGTTTGTTGCCCAATATCATTGTTTATTTTGTCTTTTCTTACATGAGTCTTCGTCATGTGTCAAATGTCCTTGTTTTAAAACTGAGATTGTTTTGAACATTTCAGTCAAAGATGACCTCATTTCTTTCTCTTAAGCCCTGTTGTTCATTAAATCATATTACTTACTTTATGGAGGTGCTTGTCGCCCCATATTGTTTGTATTATTTAGCACCACAGTACTACAGAGAGTGTGACGCACCGTGGAAGCACAGCAGGTACTCCTCCTTCTGCAGGCTGCTGGCCACCTGCATGATGGCGATGGGGAAGCTGTGAGAGGAGGCAGCGAACACCGCGGAGGCCAGAGACACGTCGTTCTTATCCAGGAACTCTGCACACGGTCATTAAATATGTTATAAAGACACAGGAATAGATGGCAAACCAACTGAAGGAAAGGGTTATGTCATTTTTTAACGCATAAAAAAAACAGAAAAGCGTGCAGAGAATGTAATACAATACTTTTTAAATGCGACTCAGATATTTAAGAGCGATTTGTGTGATGATAATGCAAATAATATACTTTTTTCATATCCCTTTAGGGGCTCCGTACGGGTTTTGATATTTTTACCCCTAAATCTGTGGCTGTGTTTATATTTTTGTGATTCCCCCCCTCACCCTCGAGCACGAACTGCTTCATCTCAATCTCGTATAACTTGTTGGTGCCGATGATGACGCTGTAGCTCGTCAGGTGGATGCAGCTGCACGGCTCCAGGGTCTCGATCTCCTGAGAGGGGGGGGACAACATCTGTTACTACCAGAAACATCTGCACACCCCCACCCAAGTATTATTGCTGAAAAAACATACTCACCTTCCGGATGCAGTACTTGTTGAGATTCTCGTTGTAGCGCAGAATGGTTATCTTGTTCGGCATAGCAGCACAAATACAGGGTCCGTTGTCTATCTGTAGAGAGAGGTGTACATGTTTATTTTCACCCAATTTAAAAAAAGAAAGCACTTTAAAGCTTTGTGTGAAGTGAGACAGAGGTAAAGGAGACGTACTCGTCCTGCAGAGAACAGATGGCAGCCCTTCACCGTCTCAAAGATGTACGGAGAGAGTTCAGACTGGCTGGGCAGGTGGGACTGAGCCAGAGACTGCTTCACCCTCTTGATCTCCACCAGACACAGTGCCCGCTCATCTCCTAAACACACACACACACACACACACACACACACACACACACACACACACACACACACACACACACACACACACACACACACACACACACACACACACACAGTATTTGATTTTCCAGGATAAGAAACAATTAACTTCTTAGTCATTGTGTGACAATCAAATGAGGATATGTCTCCACCGTTAAGCTAAAGGTGGCTAATGTTGGGCTATAAAGGAACTACAGCACGGTCACATGACTTCAGGTCACCACCGCTAAGCTAAAGGGGGCTAATGTTGGGCGTGATGACGTTTAGTC